TAAGTGAAGGAGTTGGAAATTGTCTCTAGATTCTTGTATCCATTTTTAGTAAAAATGAAGCCATGTTTTTCCAGCCTGGGCTTAGGGCCCTCAGGCAATGAGAGAGATCATAGCTAGATCTCAAAAGCAGTTCAATTGTGATTTGGTGGTGAGGGAGGTGGGTTGTATTTTGGTTTTTAATCTTACTCTGGTTTTCCTTATTCTTTTCCAGTGTGTAAGCTCTTCGTTATAATGTCAAGAGATAGACCTATAGTGTTTGATACTCATAAAGTGAGTCACCAGCATCGTTTCTTTTTTTTTTTCTTAAGTTTTGGAGAAGAGTTCAATGAACAGGAATCAGAATATCCTAGACTAGAGAAAAATTGGAGCATCTATATTCTAGAATTTCATCATCAGTCTTAAACAGTGTTTTGTGTTTCATTCCTTGAATGCTAAAAGTTAGGATGAAGTTTAAAAGACTTGTAAAATTGTTCCTAATTTGCTTTCTTAGAATATGTGCTCAGAGATAGATTCTCTACTACATTATAAGAAAAACAATGATTTGCATGGTGAAAAGCTTCAGTAGTCCTATTTATTGAAAAAGTCTTTTTTTTATTATTATTTGCTTTCATAATGCTTACACTTAACCTGGTTTCAGCTCTTAGTAAAGTGATTAATGTCACTTAATCATAGATATAATGAGGTTATGCTTTTATAACTGCACTATTTAAAAAATTGTGTAGTAGAATCTTACATGTGTAATGTAAGTTAAGTAAGCAATCTTTGTTTTTTTCTCTGAAGGATGTTTTAAGCAGAGAAGTCTGTGGTATTTAGTAATTTGAACTACTAAATTATAATGTAAATTTAAAACACAATGTGTTCGTTACTTTTGTTAATTAGCAAACTGTCTCACAAGCTTAGATTATGCAAAGTAGTTTAGGTTAATGCCTTGTAATGCTTTTTTCCTGCATGCACACACAGGTGTGCTTCCTCTCAGAAGCATCTTTCATTACAAACAATATATATTTCACCCAAGTTAATGGAATAGGTTTGCACTGATGACGGGGCAGTTCTTGCCTTTATTTCCCCTCACTGGAGACTTTTGATTACTGTCAGGGCCCTATCTTGGGTATATAGTCCCGTCCCCCCCCCACCCCCCCGCGAAAGTCTCTATACTTTAAGCAACTATAGATTACCAGTGTTTGTCTTTGATACTAGTATAAATGCAAAACTCTGAAATGAATATATTATTACAGAAGTGAAGAAAAAAGTAGTGGTAAGATATATGTAATGATTTAGTTGTAGAAAAGTTAAAAACAATTCATATTACGTTTTAAAATGATGTGGAACCTAGCTGTGCTTTGTTAAACCCTCATTAGTCATTTTAATTGAAATTGACATCCTATCAATTTGACAGTCCTCCTTAAGCTGAATATTACAAAATCATGCCAACTTCTGCAATGAAGTGATCTACTCCTACTGCATGTAAATAAGTTAGTAGCCATTAGCCAAAGTAGGAAAAAGATTGACAAATATGTTTAGGGAAAACTTGTACAATAATATTAGCTGATTTTAGGGAGAATTGTGAATGAATAACAGATGGAATATCACAAAATATTACATTGGAAAGTAACTGCAATGTAAGTATCACTCCTGGAATTCTTACTGTAAATTGCAGAGGTTGTTGGTTTTACAGATTTATAAGACTTGAAGATTTATAAAAATAATTTAGTTACCCCTCACCCCTTAGTGCTCAATATCATGGAAACTGACATCTATTATTGTGTAGGTTGTTTTTTATTTGAGTAGAGTTTCAGATTTCTTTCTTATTCTGAAACCAGAGTACTGCAGAGATAAATTGAGCAAGGTAACTTTGTGATAGGGTGCTGAATATTTGCTGGAGGTTCATAATTGTAAACTAATGGCATATGCTTATGAGTTTGTTTGTTTTTTTTTAACATTAAAGAAGTAATTTGGTCAGGGGCACCAGAGTACCTCCATTGGTTAAGTGTCTGCCTTTGGCTCAGGTCATGATCTCAGGGTCCTGGGATTGAGCCCTAAATCAAGGCTTCCTGCTGAGCAGGGAGCCTGCTTCTCCCTCTCCTTCTGTCTGCAGCTCCTCCTGTTTGTGCTCTCTCACTTTCTCTCAAATAAATACATAAAATCTGTATAAAAAAAAGTAATTTATTCAAATACTTAACCAGCATGTATTTAACCTGAGTTATGGAGGATATAAAGAAGATGCTTAGACTACCTCGCAAATGGCTTCAGAAGGTGTTTGCTGAAGTTCTGTCTGTGTATTCTGGTTATATATGTGTGTATATATATATATCCTAAAGCAGGTATTCACTATAGTAAATGTGAAAACATGCAGAAGTCTTTTTAATAAAAAAGTTCAGGGGTTATTATCTGGGTTTTCATTATCCGGATGTAGCTTTGAAGCAAATCAGGTGTTTTATTTATAGAATGTAGCATAAATATTATAACCTATGAAGAAGTATATTAAAAAGTTGAAATCAATTTCTAGTATAGCGATTTGTAGGTAGTATCTCCACAAACTAACGTGTAGATTGTATTCTAATATGCTTAGAAATAAATATTTTTTTAGAGAAGTAATGCTATAAATGGCCTCTTCCCTGGCAATATTAGCCCTGGAGAGTTCATTTTGTCTACAATTTGGCTTACAGGACCATGGTTTTCTTTTTTTTTTTTTTTTTTTTCAGGTTTCTTTTTTTTTTTTTTTTTTTTTATAAATTAATTTTTATTGGTGTTCAATTTACCAACATACAGAATAACACCCAGTGCTCATCCCGTCAAGTAGGACCATGGTTTTCAAAAGAAAATAGCACCATTACTAATAATAAGGGAAACAAAAAGTATTTATCTTGCATTATGGTATTTAAGATAAAGAAGAGAGATTTATGTGAAAAGAGAATAGCTGGAGTGGAAATAACAGATGAGAACAGTAAATGGCAGGAAAAGGATGATACTGAAAAATGAGCTGAATATAGTATAGGGTGTTAATAAAATACTTTCCATCACACATTGTTCTGGGGGCCTGGTTACTCTAGAATAGGTGGGTAAGATGAGCTATTCCTATACTTCCTTCCTTCCTTCATTTATTTATTTATGTTTTAAGGGGGGGAACTATCCACCACAAAGCCCTTAAGAAAAGGAAGTCACTGCCTTTATAAAACCCAGGCAGTCCTTTAAATTTATGACCATGGGTGGTAAATAATTTATATTTTTGTTATTACCAATAATAAAACCAGATCTTTAAAACATTTTCTACATTGAGTGGGTTTTTTTTTTCTTTGAGTATATTATCCCTGAGGAATAGTGTCGAATTTGATACCATTCTTCAAAAGATCGATTTACCCTTAAAGCATAGAAATTAATACTATTTTAGCTTACCTAAACTGCCATAAAAACATTATTTCTATGGCAAAATTCCTTCACTGATTGAGTACCTCCTGTGTGCCAGGCATTTTTCTTGGCACTCCAGCTACAGCATTGAACAAGAGACAATCTTTGATTTAATGGACTTCACGTTATAGGAGAGATTTATTTCAAGTTTCGCTTGAAAAATGGCAAAAAGTCATCTATCCTTATTACCTTTAAGTTGGCTTACTTTAGGATATTCAGTATCCTAGATAGTATCCAGAGGAAAAAAAAAAAGTAGAGAAGGGGTAGTAAGTTTATTAACCATTTTTAAATAGGGCAAAAAAAGCTTCTTTTTAAGAAGTAAGGATGAGAGTTCGTATACTTTCCCAGCTTTCCGTGAAGAAGGATTCTTCTGATCATGAGAGTGTTTGAACTATTCACTCTGTCATGGCAGCTCTATTTTTAGAAGGTTTCATGTGTTACTGCTGAACTACCACATAACTTAAGTACTGTATACAGTAGAAGAGGCAGTATAATAAGTTGTTAAGTGAACACTCTGGATCCATACCACCTAGATTTAAACCCTACTTCCTCTAATTAAACTGTGTGATCTTGGGCAAGTTACTTGAATTTTCTGTGCCACAGTTTTAAAATCTGTGAAGTAATGATAATAGTTGGCTGTGTGAGTATGAAATTGGTTAATTGGTAATGCTTGGCACTTGCAAGTACTAAGTGACAGCTGTTACTATTTTCCATGCTTGACATACAGTTGATATAGAAGTCAACTTTTCTAGATTTTCACTTGTTTTTGGCCAAGCACCTTATTATTTTGTTTGGCAGGTTTATGCTTTCAAGAACAATTTCATATAATGGAAGTCTGGGTTCTAGCCTTGCATCATCCACAGGTTTGATCTTGATTTGATCACTTAGTTGGAGGAGTGGAGGAGTTCAGATAAAATAATCTAAAATTTTTATGTAAGATAAAAGCATTTTAATTTTTTTAATAGGTGAACATGTTGAACCTTTGGCTGTTTTGAGTACTCAACTGGAACTTATTTTTGTAGTTTTTTGTTTAATGGTGATCCGTGAAATGTTAATACCAGGTACCACAGCTTGCCAGTGGCTATAAGTAATTCTCAAATTTTGAATTATTGGATGATGTACAGATGATTTCTGTTCTGTGTGTGGGTGTGTTTAATTCTAAATATAAGTTACTTGAAAAACATGCCCAAGGAAAGGTATTTCCCTAAAATAACTCTACCTTGGTTTTTCATGTCACTGAGAATCTATTTCATAAAATTACTAAAATAACCTCCTAGTAAAATTGGAGTCCGATAAAACAAATACGTTCTCTTCCTAGTTACAGTTTCACGTGTATATGTGCACTTTGCAATAATTTAAAAATGTTATAAACTTCGCTAAAATTTGCTTTGTTTTTATGTCTTATTTCCTGGAAGACTAATCAGATTTTCAGTAGTTTTTCACTTCTATCCAAAGGGCACCTTGTAGATAAGCATGCTGTAGAATCAAAATAAATGTGGTAGTCAGATTTTATTGAAGTTCAAATCCCGTAAAGATGGTTCTATTTAACTCTCATGAAGTTACGTGTGGTTTTTCCTGAACTTTTTCTTTTGCAGCAAAGTTCTGTTTTCATTAACTACACACTATTTTAAAGTTGAAGATGGTGGTGAAAGATCAGTCTGTGTTACCTTTGGATTTTTTTTCTTTGTGAAAGCAATGGCAGTCTTGATTGTGACAGAAAACTATCTGGAATTTGGACTTGAAACAGGTAATCATTTCATAGAAGTTTAAAAATCAGTTTTGCTTTATCAAGTGTTAATATTTTTTACTTCATTAAGTTTTATATCTGATATGTTTTTAAAATTAGGTTTGAGATGTATATTCTGTAATGTAAATAATGAACTTTTATTATTCTTAAGATCTTCCCTTTTTTGTTTCAGCTAAATTTTTTGTTACTTTTTTCCAAAAATGCTGCCCCCTCATTTTTTCCTTACAGTTAAATAAGTTTCTGCAATGCTGAAGTTTACTCACATAAAGATGCAAATTTTGATGCAAATTTTATGCACACTTATGGAATGTACAAATATCAAAGGGATGTTTTCAAAGACTGTTCCTGCTAATAACCAAATTTTATTGCATTATGGCATACTAATTAGCACATGAAAGAGCTAAGCTAGTCACTTCAAGATTTAAGATGTTCTGTTTCCTAACATTTTATTTCCAAAGAAAGATTCTGTATTAAGAATTTTTTTTTCCCTGCAGGTTTTACAAATTTTTCAGATAGTGCGATGCAGTTTCTTGAAAAGCAAGGTTTAGAATCTCAGTAAGTTTTTAAAAATATTATCACTTAAGTTTAAATTTTTTTTTTCGTAAAACAGCATTTATTATAAGTGGCTTTGTGTTTATAATCCTTGAAAAGAACTCCTTTTTAAAGTAGGACTTTTAGAAGTATCCTCACTTGTAATTTTTACATACATATAAAGACAGTATGTTTCATAGAATTCCTATTTGGATTTGCTTTTATTTGATTTAATTCCAGAGATTAAATAAATTTATACCTGAGTCATATATCAAATTCTGTGTTGAATATGCAGGTTGGGTTGTTACCTGTATGGCTAGAGATGCCTGATTTAGTTTACACTTCACCAATATCCGTTATCAATAATTGAGTAAAAGCAGTCTTTTTGTAAAAGTTCACTTAGTTTTTGTTATTATTATTATTGTGGTTTATAAAGTAATTGATTAGAGGAAAGGAAATTCCCAAAAAGTTGACATACAGAACTTACTGTCTTTTTTTTTTTTTTTTAATTTTTATTTATAGGGGTCCTGTTTCAAAACTTACTTTCAAATTTTTCCTGGCTATTTTCTGTTCACTCATTGGGGCTTTTTTGACATTTCCTGGATTACGACTGGCTCAAATGCATCTGGATGCCCTGAATTTGGCAACAGAAAAAATTACACAGTAAGCGGAAAATGTACATAAGCACATGCAGATAAATATATGTTTTCCATCTTAATGAAGGTATATTATTGTAATGAAATAATAAATTATTGTATTGAAAATTAATAACCATTTGATGTCACACTACTTCCTCTTCTATAAGCAGGTGTCTTTTATTCACTTCTAAATTTTAAGTCCTGTGATTAAAAACATACATTAATTACTAAATTTCTTTTTTTACTTGTTAAGAAATGGAAATACCAGTATTTATGTTCTTTTTAACTCAGAAGTCAGGGTTTATGACACTGTAATCTCTACAACTGAACAAAGGATCTATGGAAATTCTCTTAAATCAACAGTTTTTTAAAAAATATTTAAATTGTATGTAAATCTTAATTTTTTATTTAAAAATGGTTTGAAAGTTCACTCTATGCATAAGAAATGTATGTTTTTCTAAATTGATCTGTTTATGAGATTTTGTTAAATTCATACATTATTTGGGAATTGCTGCTACTGTACAGTATTGAATATCATAGATTACTTTTAACTGCCAAATTCTATTTTAATTATCAAATGGAGAACTCCTATTTGAATCCTTGCATATAGTTCAAAGCTCATTTACTACATTCTTTGTGGTTGCAATAGATATTTTTTGTTGGTTAGACACCTTAGCAGAACGACAGGTTTATATCTTTCAATTCATATCCAGACCCAAATTTCCATCTTGTCTTTATGTTTTGCAGTAGAAGCTCAAGTTGAGAATATTCCATTTTGATTTATGTATATATTATCTTTGAGTTTCTCTGAGTGATCATTTTTAACATTTCTGCCCTTAAAGCCCTGTATTTAATGATGCTGATTCTCTGGTCTTTATATTCTTACTTATCTCTTACCTATGTCATTTTCCTTTAATTTTGAATCTTTTTTGTTTTTCCTTCCCTCCATTTTTCTACATGTTGTGTTTGTGTGTGCATGCACACGTGTTTGCATGTGTGCCTACTTATTCTCACCTCCCAGTACCCACTTCTTCATCCCTCTTTTTTTTCCCCTCCTTTTACTCAGCATGCTCTTGGCTGCATCCTGTCTTTCTCCCAACATCCATCCATCTCTCTAATGGCTTCTTTTAAAACAAAACCTGTTTCTTCCCCTCCTCTCTACACACACACTTCAGTCCACTAACCCCAGTGTTAGGATTTAAATAAGCTGAAAGGGTGGGTGGAGGGGAGCCCTTCACCAGCTACTGAAACCGCTGTGGGCTGCTCCTTGATACTAGAGTGTTCCCTAGCAACACTGCATACCTAATACTGCTGCTTTCTTCCCCCGCACCCGGTGGTTTACCCAGGCTGGGGGATGAAAGAATCACTTTATAAAAACATTTAAAGCATTTAGTAGTGGTTTGGGATTGGGAGGGGGCACATCTTAGTTTTCTTTTCAGTAAAACATAGCTTCTTTTTAAGATTTTTTCCTTTTGGGGTTTGGAGCTTTATTTTCAGTTTGTTGCAACTCCTGACTGTGTTGTAGCACTCTGCCGTGATACAGGAGTGTGGGCAAGCTTGTTCTGTTGTGAAACTAGCATGATTGGCACAAAGAACAATGTTTCCCTCAGCCCCGTGCCCAGGCATTAGTCCTGTTTAATGCCAGAGCTTAGAACCAAAGTTCCACCATTCCCTGTCAGGTGTTCATGGTTTTCTGATGCAGCCCTGTTTGCCTCACATGGATCACAGTCATTTGCACTGTAGTGAAGATTTTGAAATGTGTGTGCGCATGTGTATGGGTGTGTATTTAAAATCCTCCACTTTAGCCCTTCACTGTGATTGATCATGAAAACAGAACATGGTAAAATAGAAGGATTCTTTTTTCTAAAATAAGAACAGTCTTTACCAGTTTTCTATCTTTGTAGGGTACAAACTTGGCACAATAACTAACAGTGAAATTATAACTCAAACCTAAAACCTTTTGGTGTATTCAGTATATTGCCTTTCTGGATTATGTACATTTTCTTGGTATGTATAGGATAGGGAAATGAACTTCATAATACTTCATGAAGGAATAAAAATATATGAATCATTTATAATTTTAACAGTGTTATTAAAACAGTATACATGATCATTGCATATTGAAAGTTTCCTCAGTTAAAAGCTGTTATAGTAGGTTCCATGTGCCATATGCCTTCTAGTGGACCTTGCTAATAATCACTGACTCTTACTTATATTTAATGAGGAGGCACTTTGTTTTAGCTTGCACTGAAAAAGTGTCAAAAGATGATGCCTGTGTACTGACAATCCATTGGATTCATTGACTGTGTTAAGTTAGTCATTTAGGTACCTGTGTTACCAAATCAGGGATGTAGTAGGGGATTGTTAACACTAGAATGGAACTGAACACTGTTAGATTTTAGTGCTATATCTGCCTTTAACCTGTAATACTGCCATGAGCAAGTCATTTAACTTTCCTGAATCTAAATGTTCTCATTTGAAAAATTCAGATAATGAGGTAGTTTTGCAGGGGCTCAAATCAGTGTTGAGTAATAATGATAAATAGAAAATAATGATGACAGTAGTACCTTAATACAGAATACTGAAAATAAGTTTCTGTCTTCATTTTGTAAGTTCCAAGTTTAATGTATTAATATATTTTGTTCCTTGGTTTTTATATTTATTTCTTACATACTTTCAGAACATTACTTCATATCAACTTCTTGGCTCCTTTATTTATGGTTCTGCTGTGGGTAAAACCAATAACCAAAGACTACATTATGAACCCACCATTGGGTAAAGAAAGTGTCCCTTTGTAAGTATGGGTATTTGAGGGTTAATTTTTGTTTCCTTAGAGAGTCAAAACTGCTTTCCAAAATGGTATATACTATATTTAAGTTTTTTAACGATAATATTAGGATACTGGGGTTTTTTTTTTGATACTGTGTTTTTAAGCATTAATAGAAATGCTAAAAGATGTGTTCGAAAACTGAAGCTACAAATCATCATTTGACCTTTTTATGATCTTCCTTAATGAATGTGAATGATCATTAATCCACACTGATGTTATCTTGTATACTTGTAAGATTTTCTGTCTTCTCTCTTAACGTCCAGTTGCTATCTGACATTATTGTGTTTGGGGGCCTATTTTTAATATTCTTTTTGCCGTTCTTTTTTTTTTTTTCTTCCTTAATTGTGAAAATTACGGAAGATAAAATGAGTAGTATAAATGGATACTCATATTCAGTCCTTATAAGAGTTGCTAGTATTTTCCATATTTACTTCACTTTTGTTTGATGTAGTAGTTTTTCAAGTGAACTAGGGATCTAACATATTCACCCCTAAGTACATGAGTATTCACCTCTAAGAAATAAGGACATTTTCTGGCATAGTATTATCATCATCCCTATCAAATTAAAAATAATGCCTTACCATTATTATCTAATATTAGGTCATATTTTCCTTTTTAACAGAAGAAGATAGTAAGGAAACACAGAAACAATTTATTAAAAGGTGCTAATAACTATACTTGATATATTAACTCATTAGCCTTATGAAACTATGTTCCATAAGTAATAGAAAGTAATAGAAAGATTCAGACAAAGCTGGTTCAAACCCTAGTTCTGATCTCACTGAAACTGTCACGTGAGGGAGATGATTTAACTTCACTGAGCCTCTGTTTCCCCATCTGGAAAATGAAGATAATAGTATCTACCTCACAAAGTTACCATTGGAATTAAATGAAAGAATGCATGTAATGCAACCAGCTGGAAGTAAATGCTTAATCAATGTTTCTTTCACTGCTTTGCCTCGTCAAAATTAAAGTAGAAAACCTTGACTAGTCATTGACTCCACAGTATACATTTTATATTATGTATTTCTTTTAGATCCTGGTACAGATTTGTCTTGGAGTATATAATCAGTGATGACCATGACTTTTTTTTTTTAAGTTAATCTTATTGAACTAGGGAAGTATTCATTGAAGCTGTAATGTTTTTCCCCCACACAAGTAAGTCTTAATGATAATTTTAACTTGACAGATTCCCAGTGTTTTTAAAAGTAATTTCACACATTTCAACCGTCATATTAAGCGCCTGATGTATGCTAGAGATTAGAATAGGTACGGGGAGCATGGTCTAACTGTTGCTTTCAAATTACTCGTAGTGTTAGCTTTTATCAAAGGAGAAACCATGGTCTTTTAAAAACATTAAGCCACGAAAGGACATCAGAAATTACCTCTGCTTTCTAAATTCCTTTAAGGATCCCTCTCCAGTCAACTGGGAAAAAAGTCATAAGGGTACATCTTCTACCTGGAATCCTCATTTTAGTCTTGAGGAATTGCTCATAACTGAGGCAGCTTGAGCTCATAGGTTAAGTGACTCGTTGGAGAGAAATCTGAGACCAATTTCTTCATTGATATATCAGAATTACTGGCTTTCCTAGGATCCCAGTCAGGAACTCAGCAGAGTGAGATTTATTCAAATATCTTTGTAATCAGACAAAACACTAGGCATGTGTTGTTCACTTGATAGTTCCAAAGACAGTCTTCTATAGTTTCCTTCTTTCTCCTGCTCTCCAGTGTAAGAGCTCTCAGCTTCTCTTCATTTTACAACCAGTTTTTTTTTTTTCATGAAGGAGGGTAGAGAAAAGGACCCCATGTATCTTCTACACGTTTCTTCTAGATATCTGTTACTAGTATTCTTTCGTGGTAGGTACGTTTATCTTTCTAGTTCTATTATACAAGTCAAAGGTATTATATAGAAAGTGTAGTATAGTGTGGGATACTTTTGTTTTATATCTCCAACTGTAACTAAGTATAGGTATCTTATATTTTATATGGTGAACACTGACACATATAACTAGATGTTAATGTATTTTGGTCTTTGAGAGCACCATATCAACTTTTTGATCTGTAGAATGACAGAAGCGACATTCGATACTCTGCGACTCTGGTTAATAATCCTGCTGTGTGCTTTGCGGTTGGCCATGATGCGCAGTCACCTACAAGCTTACTTAAACTTAGCCCAGAAATGTGTGGATCAAATGAAGAAAGAAGCAGGGCGAATAAGTACAGTTGAGCTACAGAAAATGGTAAGTTTCATACTGTAGTCACTGAAAAATAGCAAACACTGTATTGTAAGAAAACAAAGCATTTAACTTCCCTTACTGTTTTTTTAAAAGAATTTATTTATTTATTCATGAGAGACACAGGCAGAGGGAGAAGCAGGCTCCATGCAGGGAGCCCGATGCAGGACCCGATCCCGGGACTCCAGGATCATATCCTGAGCTGAAGGCCGACTCTCAACCACTGAGTCACCCGGGCATTCCTTAACTTCCCTTAATAGTAATTTTATCCCATAGTACTCTTGATGTTAAATAAATGGCATAATCCTAAATTGAAAGATACTGAAGAGATCTTGATCTGATTTTGGTGCTAAGTGAACAGACAGTCTCAGGTCCTCTTCCTGCCTTAGTACTTAAAGTATCATATAGTTTGGGTTGCAGTGCTGTGGTATATCTACTGTTGCTAAATGAGACACCACCCCTCCTCCCCCACATTGATTTGGAAGACAGTACAATATATTGTCTAGCCTTTAAGATTTACAAGACTTAATATTAGTTTTAGTGACTAAGTTGATTCCATGTGACATTATTCGAAGTATTTGAACATAAAATGTAAATATTTAACTTAATGGGAATTTCAGAGAAGGAAAGGGCTAGGAATCCATCCACCATTATAGTTAACTGGATCTGTATAATCTGATCATGTCTTTTTTTGAAATTTGGTTTTGGGTACTTTGTTCTTTACTGTCTTTCATAGTCAGGGGTGTTCATTAAGATTCAGACACTTAAAAAAAAAGATTCAGACACTTTTTGTTTTATCTTATGTATTTTCATTCTGTATAATTTTACCTCAGATTTTAGTTGAATATGTTCATATAGAATAGAGATTTAATGTTTTTATTTACTAGGGGTTTATGGCTCAGCCTGTCATTTTTATTTAGTTTGATGTTTGTGGTGTCTGTCTAGAGATACAAGCATTTTGTTTTATATTTGAAATGTAAGTGAATATACTAATTGAATTTAAGTGGTTATTTTCTCCAATTTATATTAACCACTTAACTATTTTCAAAGAATTTATTTTAATATTTTCACATTTAAAAACTTGTCTTCAAACTAAGCCTTCCTGAAGTCAGTTTGGAGTCATTTATAATGAAGTGCAAACTTAATAGCATTTAGCTTCCTTCACATGATGGGATTACCTATCTCTTAAGCAATTCATTTTGACAATTATATGAAAGTTTAATTCACTCTTAACATGTCACTTAAGAATGCTTTTGGTTGCAGGTGGCTCGAGTCTTTTATTACCTTTGTGTCATTGCCCTGCAGTATGTGGCACCTCTGGTAATGCTGCTTCACACAACTCTGCTTTTGAAAACACTAGGTAGGCCTGGTAACTGGGAAATACGTTGTTTTACTTTCTACCTATAATGAATAATGCTTTTTGTTACCTACAAAGCAGTATGCTTCTTAAAATTGTTTTCTTTAAAAGTTTTAAGAAGAAATATGGCAAACTTTTAAAAGTTGATTCATAATATTGATTTTGAAAACTCAGGTCCATATAGTTCTAATAATATTATGCTTTACATATAGGAGTTGTCTGCTAAAGATTAATCCCCAAATTTACTGAGTAACTTGAGTGAGCACTCTTAGTCTTATTTATTTTGTGTTGTAAAAAGGATTATAAAAGATTTTACTAATGCCTAACATTTCAGTTATTATAAGGTAATTGTATACTTATATGAATTGCAGGGTCCTTTGGTGAGTTCTACTTTAGATATTGACAGGATAAAGATTTTTCAGCAGAAGAACAAAGTTCTCGTATGAATCTGTTCACTAAACTATCAAGTTCCTGTGTTGTGTTATTCGAGAACTATCTATTACTGTATTGATCATTTCCCTTTGCTGAGATCAGGCAGTCAGCCAGTGTGGGGGTTTAAGAAGACCAAAGGAACTAAATGTATTATTTGGGTGGGCTTTGTAGATACCATAGAGATGATGATAGATGTAAATGGCCTTTAGGAATCTGTGGAACATAAAGAGGTAGCTCAGTTATAAATTATGTGACTCATATCCTATCCAACATAGGAAAATATATGATGAAAAACTTTTGGAAGCTATTAATAGTCTCTCACATTGAAATCATAGATAGTTTCTGAGAAAGAAATTTATTCTGATATTCTAAAGGTAGAAAAGATTTCTAAGAAGTTACTGAGTCTTTCCCTGTCACTCCAGTAGAGGTAGTTGATTAATGTATTCTACAAGGGAGAAAATTGTTATTATTTTACCAGGTTTTAGTGCAGCTAATTAAAGGTAAATTAGACTTTTATCTCTACTTTTACAGATATAAGACCAGCTTGTAGTCTAATCAAATTAAATGACTTCTTTTTTTTTTTACCAGGTATGTAGAAACGCTATTTTACTTCATTTTCAATAGGAAATAGTTTGTTATGCCACTAAATTTCTTGTTTTTAATTTCAAGTGTATGTTAAAGATTTTCTTGTTTCAATTAGAAGCCTTGGAATTGTTACTCTTCAAGTTTTACTTGTGTCTTGAATTTTCTAGGTAATCATTCCTGGGGGATTTATCCAGAATCTAGCTCTACCTTGCCAGTGGATAATACTCTACCCTCCAATTCTGTTTCCTCTGAATTACCATCTGCTGATGGGAAGGTGAAGGTAACTGTTACACAAATAACAGTGGCACTGAGCAGCTTAAAAAATATTTTCACTCCTCTGCTTTTTCGAGGACTTCTGTCTTTTCTGACCTGGTGGATTGCTGCTTGTCTCTTTTCTACAAGCCTTTTTGGGCTTTTCTATCACCAGTATCTGACTGTGGCATGAATCTTAATTAACAAAAACGGATATCCAAGTCACACTCGAAATTGAAATATTTGTGCTGTCGGAAACCAGAAGAAAGCAAATACAAAGGAAAAAAAACATATCAGAATATTTTGTTTTAAATGCTTCCTCTGTATTCTCAGGGTGAATCAATGGTATAATATTTAAAATTACAGAGTAGATTATTAACTGCTATACTGTGGCATTGGAATTTTAACTCCTTGTATTAACTAATGTGAGAGGGCTATCTACAGGGGTAATACTTTTGATTACCTTGGTTTACAGAAACCTCCAGCAGTCTTTGAAACTTCTCATTTGACTCCACTTATTGATTGATTGCTCTTAATGGTACAAAGGTACTGTTAATATTCATATTGGCTGCCTATAGAACAATCTTCAAACTGAGCCATGCTTTGGGGGAGGGAAAGGAGCTAAAATCACTTCTGTTGGTAGTATGTTAGTCAGTCTTCAAACAACAATAGCAAAATCCAACAGAAAGGACGAAATAGCTACTGTATATTACAGTAAAGAAAGCTGCATAGTAATTTTAAATTTTATGGAGATGTACATGCTTAATATCTACAAGTACTGCTGCCTGAGAGTAGCAAGAATATTGTTTTAAAATGTATTCTATCCAGTTTGAGGGATCTTTTAATATGATTGGCTATATGAACATTTGCAATCTTGCTAATAGGCTTGGAACTCCCATATTTTATTCTGTGATCCTAAATATAGTTCTTTTATTAGTCTAAAGATATTTATCAACATTGATCAGACTTTTAAAAATTTACTTTAATCCTGCTGACTACCTGTATGTATTGTATATATTATATATTAAATATATAATATATTGAGATTATAAAAGGTGAAAATATTGGATCCTTATATTTTAAGTTGCTGAATGTATATTAAATGTGGTTGAATGAGATGTGTTTGTATCTAGAAATTTTCTTTCTTTTTGGAATGAGATTAAAATATGTTTTGAAAGTTCATTAGATCAAGCAATTTATTTGTGTTACCTATGTGTGAGACTGCTTAGAATTTTATAAGTACTTGGGATGATTTCTCCCAAATTAAAATTATTTTTCTGTCATTTTCAAAAATCAGAACTTTTCCCGCTAACCAAATCTACAGGAATCATTTAAACCCATGGTAAATAGGAATTCGTTTAGGTTTATGGTGTTTAGAATAAGAAATGTTAATAATTTTCTTTACAGAATGAAATTGAAGTAACTTGAATGAAAAATTCATAGGAAGTGAAAAAAGATCTAAAAATGTTTTTGATGCTTTCTTTGTTTATCTAAAACCCCAAATTAAGAGCTTCAGTTATAAAGGGAATGAATATAAGAGATAAAGTCTGTTTCCTTTTTCAACAAATAGCAGAATTTATAGATAAACATTCTTCCATTGAATGTTCTTCAGAGGCTATATGTTAGTGCTATGGTTTCAGTGCTATTGTCACTATTGAAAGAAATTTTGAATCTCTTTTGGAATTTCAAGGTTTGTGGTTCACATTCATTTGAATAATCACAGTGCAGCAAGTTCCTGTCTTTTGGTATAGATTAAATATTGTGGAATTAGCTGACATTTCTAAATATGAGTGAGTAATAAGTGCTTAATTTGGCTAAAACTCTGATTGATAAGAATTGTTAATATAGCCAAATGGTAGTTCATGTGTATTTCCAAAAGGAACATTCCAAATACATCTTGAGATAACAGCATCCACTAAAATAAGTGTCTTTTAATAAGATTATAGCAAAGCATGATATTTATTTTGTATGTGAAAGTTCTCACATGTTGGACTTGAAAAGAACCTCACCTGATATTTATAAAACCATTTTTATTGAAGAGCTACGTTTTTAAAACTATAATTTAAGTTATTATTTTGAGTTTCAAAGATTGTACCATGGTATTATATAGGGTGGGGCAGGGGAGGCATAGAATTTATTATTGGATGAAATAACCTGCATTTCTAAAATACTATTGATTCACTCTTTTTAGACTTGAATTCTCCCTAAGTGTACTGTGAACTTGTTCAAACTGCACATTAATTTAAGTAATGGGTTTGGTTTAGGTTTTTTTTAGCCTTTCCAAACAAATTTGAAGAATATGATGGTTGTAACTACTAACTGGTTTATTTAAGCATCTTGTCTATGTATACAAATTCTGTTTCTGAGTGTAAAGGGTTTATACTTTCTGTAAATCAAATAATATTTTTTTAATTGAGATATAATTGACATATAACATTGTATTTGCTTTAGATGTACAACATAATTTTATATATATATATATATATATATATAGCAAAATGATTCCAAATAATATTTTAATATTCTTAGGCCAGTAGAATTCTTTTATTATTTATGTTGGGCTCTAGTCAATATAACTAAGTGCTTCATAGATCAGTTTTTTTATATTTTTGTTAAATTAACTAGGAATCCTTATAATCTTGTTTCATATGATTTGTGGAATTGCTTTTGACAATATGTTGATTCCTGCCCCCCCCCCAATTCCCTGCCCATTACATGATAAAAATCCAAGCTGTATTCTCCCTCCTACCCCCATTGATGTGTCTGAAATGAAAAGCATATAATTTTATCTTAATATCCGTATGCATTTTGATTATCTTTGGCATTTTCCCCAGAATTCCAATTGCTATGCTTAAATGACCAACGCATCCAAGCAGAATGGGTTCATTGTCTTATTGTTTCTGATATAAATATCATTGGTAAAATAGTGACATTTCTTCTTGAGTTATGATTCAGAACAGATATTCATCCATTAATGGAATTGATAGGTCCAGGAAGCAATAAGTAGAATTCATTATGAAATCTATAATTGGAACTTCACTGGATAGATTTTATTCTTTCAAATGAAAGATTAAATTCTCAGTACTGAAAAGCATAGGGTCTCAACATTCTCTGAATTCAAACACACTTTCTGAGCCATCTCATAATTGAAAATGGTCTATCATGGTATATGGCTCTATTCAGCAAAATAAAACTAAGTGATTTTTGAATGTAGATCATCCCACATCTTCACAGACCTTTAGGTGGCCTAAAGAATCAGATTTAAACACAATTATGATCTGAGACCATGAGCCCAGTTCTCAGATATTTCTACAATATTGTCTTTTAACTCCTACTTGTCTCATTATGTCTGTACCCTGGCTTCATAACTGAGCTGGTTATGTGCCATGATAACTCTGACATGGACACTAAGGATGATCACAAAACTAATGTTAACCTTTCTCTTCTTTAAAGTGGTAAAATTTTTACTTAGTCTTTTTTTTTTTCTTCCTAAGAAAAAAGAAAAACCAGATATAGCTTGTCCATATGCTTATTTTATGTTAAAATTGAACTCCTTTCTTTTTAGCTACAAACTATTATGTTGGGTGGGCCTCTCTTTAGTGATTCAGAGTGTGTATTTTCTATTTCATTGTTGAAATGTTTCTTTTCCCCTTATAATTCCCTGTATATGGTTACTCCCCTCCTTTCTCCCACTTGGCAGAAGACCTATTCATCATCTTAAATGAAGAAACAATATAATTTTATGGAAAGAATGTTAGTTTAATAATCAAGAAACATCCCATTGCTGCCTTCAGTTAGCTATTTTTTGCACTAAGTGTTCAACCTCTAGTAATTAAATAGAATTGAATTATCATCACTTTTGACCTCAGTATTATCATAAAATAAAAAAATTTACATTAAATGTATGGCTATATATTTTTACAGCTGGTATCAATTTTTTGTGTGTGTTAGCATGAGAAAAATGAATAGCAATTTTTGGCTTCAGGAGCAGTCACAGATCAGGTTAGAGGGCATTCATTCACTTTTCCTTGGAAATAACTTCAAGTGTTTTTTTTCAGGAACATTTTGTTTTGTACTCTTTTAATTATTCACTCAGTAAAATTTATTTGGTATCTATAATATTCCAGAAACTGCCCTACATACAACAGTGAACAAAACATCAAAATTCTTCCTCAAGGAGCTTAGAGTCTGGTTCAGGAATGCAACAAAATGAATATGAGTCAAATGTAGGATATGTTAGATAGTGACCTAATAAGTGGAGATTGGGGAGGAATCAGGGAAGGGAGAAAGAATATGAAGATGGAGGATAGGGATAAAGTAAAATTTTAAGCAGAGCATTGAGAGAAAGCCTCACTGAGAAAGTAATTGGAGTAATGAATGACTTGTAGGAAGTAAGACCCTTCATAGTGTTGTTTTTTTTTTTTCTTATGAGCCCTGTAGTTTATTTGTTGACAAAACACCTCGATTGCTTGGACTTTGCTATTTGTGTGCTCACTAACGAAATACTTGAAAAGATAGTATTATATTTCTGATTTGGTGTACTGTACAGAAAGGATTATAGGCATTATATGCTGCTTGTTTGCCAATGAACAGTAAAGCATGTAAGAAATATAATCTGAGTCCGCTTGTTATAGTTTTTCTGTCAAGTGCTTTTTAACTTAATTCAGACATGTTTACATTTTATTTTAGTAGAACTTTTAAAGACTCCAAGGATTTTAAATGAGTTACAGGACCCTGGAGCAATATGATATGTCCACTTGGCAGACAAATTTTGCCCACCAGTTCTTTTATCTGTCAGATAATCTGTTAACACAGAGGTAATTAACAAAGGGTAACATGGCTGAGGACGAATTTGATTAATAGCATCTTAGCAAAATTTTAAATGTTATAACACAATTTGAGTAAGTCAAATGTACCCACTGCTGAAGTATTAAAAATGAAAGAGATGTATTTTTTAAAATAGTTCTTTACAAAAATTAGCTTTAACATCTATTTTATTTGGAATGCATTTTTCTTTCTGTATTTCTAGTGAAACAATTTATATTTATGAATAGAAAATTCTAAAAGACTAAACAAATGAAACTAGTTTCATTAGTAGAATTACTTTAAATAAGGAGCAATGATAAGTTACAGGAATTACTGTGTGTTTATGTGTATATTTACTTGTTATATTTTTAACATTTCCTCAGAGCATGAAATGTAACTTTTTTCCACATATTTAAATTTCTATCATTATAGTAAATGGTCGATGTACCAGTTTTGATAAGTGGCTTATGTCTAAAGTTGATACTCTGGCAACTGAATGGTCTGTTGAAATTGAATATCAACATCAGAGAAAAAAACTGAATTGTAGGAAAAACCCAAACTTTTATTTTTCAAATTTTATTTATTTTTTTAAGATTTCATTTATTTATTCATGAGAGAGAGAGAAAGAGAGAGGGAGAGGCAGAGCATAGGCAGAGGTAGAAGCAGGGAGCCCATGCAGGGAACCAATATGGGACTCAATCCGAGGACCCCAGGATCACGCCCTGAGCCAAAGGCAGATGCTTAACCAGCAAGCTGCCCAGGCATCCCTATTTTTCAAACTTTAATCATTTAAAGCTTTTTTAATTTAGTGAAATATTAAAGGAGTACCATTGCAACAATGGAAAAAGCAGTCTTTTCAACTCTTGGTACTAGAATAATGAGATATCCACATTTAAAAAAGTGAACCTCAATCTTTCATTTGTAGTCTATAGTACCTCAGACTACACACAAAATTGAATTCAAGAGAGACCACATACCTCATTTTAAAAGCTAAAACCATATAGTTTTTAGAGGAAGTCATAAGAATAGTTTGGTCATTTTAGGGATGGGCAAAGTTTTCTTAGTATGTAAACAATAATCATAAAATTTGTTTTAGTGATAAAATAGATTTCATACAGATTAAAAATTTCTCATCAAAAAACTGTTAAGAAAATAGACACGTCATAGCTTGAGATTAGAATACTTGTGAAACGAGACAGAGACTGGTGTTCAGGATGATATATAAACAGTTACCGAAAAGAAAAGATTAAGGACTGAGCAAGAAATTTAAATAGAGACTTCACAGTTGACCATAAAGCAGATGAAAAAGTACTCATCTCTGGCAGTTTTAATGTGATGATCCTTGTTGTTACAATTTTCTTAAATTTCTTGTACTGAATTTGTTGAGGTTCTTAGATCACTAGGTTTTCATCTCAGGTCAAGTTAAAGACTTGACTAGTTTTTCCATTTTGAGAAAAGAAATCAAAATGCGGTTGCAATGCATTGTTGGATTTTACAATTTTTTTGACAGCTCTTTTGCAGAAAAAAGTGTTGAAAAGAGTGTTCAATTCTTAAAAGTTAGGATGGTTCAATAAAATGTTAAGTACTAGCACTATCTAGATCATGCATAAAGATTTTTCAATTATGTGATCAGACATATGCAATAAATTTGATAATAGTTTTCTTTGCCTCTTTTAAGTATTGATTCTGCTTGAGAGTTCTTGGCAGATGGAGGGGATTTTAGTTTTCACATTTTAAGTGGAAGAGCACTTTCTGGTTTTGTCACTTAGAGTACCACTTTAGAAGTACCATGTTTGTAATTATTAATCTAATTTGCTGATTGTAAAGCACCAAAAAACTTTTTGTTATATTTTAAAAGGTGAATTCATTTCACAACTCATTGGCACTGTTTTGTTTAGGTGATTTTTTCCTGTGTTTATTTTGGATAGTTTTTATGGCTATGTCTTGAAGCTAATTTTTTTTTATAGTTTCTAATCTGGTGCTTAAGTCATCCACTGTATTTTTCATCTTGGATCCTTTTTTTAATCTCTAGAAGTTCAATTTGGTTATTTCTTACATGTCTCTCTTTAACAGGTTTATACTTTCTTGAAAATAGAGATTATAATTTATAATAATTGATTCAATGTATTGGTCTGGTAATTTTTTTTTAAGTAGGTTCCACACCTAGCATGAATCCCAACAAGGGGCTTGAACTCATGACCCTGATGAGATCAAAAGTTGGATGCTTAACCAACTGAGCCACCAGGTGCCCCAATTTCTTTCATTTTCTGTCTCACTTTGGAACTTTGTGTGTGTGTATGTTTTTAAATTTTATTTATTTATTCATGATAGAGAGAGAGGCAGAGACACAGGCAGAGGGAGAAGCGGGCCCCATGCAGGGAGCCCGACGTGGGACTCGATCCCAGGACTCCAGAATCACACCCTGGGCCTAAGACGGGCGCTAAAATGCTGAGCCACACAGGGATCCCCGGACCTTGTGTGTATTGATTAATTTTTCTTCTCATTGTGGTTCATATTTTCTACTTTATTTGCCTTCTTGAAACTCTTTGGATGGCAAACACTGAATTTAAGCCTTGGTGGGTACTGAATATTTTTGTATTTCTTTAAATATTCCTGAGCTTTTTTCTGGGATGCAGCTAAGTTACTAGGAAACCTCGAAGAAACTTTTGATTCTTTTGATTTGCTGTTAAGACAGGGGCAAAGAGCAGCTTTTAAGTTGGTGCTAATTTTTACCTACCAGTAAGGAAATACCCTTCTGAATACTCTACCAATCCCCATTTTGAGTCCTGGGAACAGGAACTATCCCCAATCATTTGAGTCCTAAGGATTGTCTACCTGTTCCTTTCTGGTGGTTCTTTCCCCAACATTGAGTAATTTCCTCAAATGCATCCATTGATCAGAACTCAGCTGAAGACATACATTAAAGAACTCTCTGCCAATCTCTAGAGCTCCCCCTCTGCAACTCTCCTTTCTGATCACTCTTCTCTGATTTTTAGTTGCCATTTCCTCCACCAGATTCTCAACTCAGGGAGACCACTGGGTTCAGGTTAGTTTCTTTTTCTCTGTGCTGTGGCTAGAGTGCTTCAGTCAGTAAACTAGAACAGAGTTCACTTCATAATTTCCTTCTTTCAGGGATTACAGTCCTGTGCTGTCCTTTCAGTAGTTCTATAGGATAGAATACATCTGATCCCTACTAATTTCATTGTGGCTGGAAGTAGAAGGCCCCAACTTCTGAGTTTTAATTTTTTTATTAGAGAATTTCTATTCTCCATGAAGAGTCTGTTCAGAGACAGCCTTCTATTCACATACTATTTTAAAATATGTATCACTCAACATTGTCATCAGGGGAATGCAAATTTGAACCACATGAGGTATTGCTGTATATCCACTGGAATGGTTAAAATGGCTCAGTGATTGAGCATCTGCCTTTGGCTCAGGTTGTGATCCTGGGGTCCTGGGATTGAGTCCTGCATCAGGCTCTCCAGGGAGAGCCTGCTTCTCCCTCTGCCTATGTCTCTGCCTCTCATGAATAAATAATAAAATCTTTTTAAAACTAGAAAAAATAAAGATAAATTAAAAACTCTGAGGGTAGGGATCCCTGGGTGGCGCAGCGGTTTGGCGCCTGCCTTTGGCCCGGGGCGCGATCCTGGAGACCCGGGATCGAATCCCACGTCGGGCTCCCGGTGCATGGAGCCTGCTTCTCCCTCTGCCTATGTCTCTGCCTCTCTCTCTCTCTCTCTCTCTGTAACTATCATAAACAAATAAAAAATTAAAAAAAAAAAAAAACTCTGAGGGCATCTGGGTGGCTCAGTTGGTTAAACATCCAACTCTTGATCTCTGCTCAGGTCTTGATCTCTGCTCAGGTCTTGATCTCAGGGTCAAGAGTTTAAGCCCTGTGAGGCTACTTAAAAACAAACCTCTGATACCACTAAATGGTGACAAGGATATGAAGCAACTGGAATACTCAGACTTTGTGCTACAGCTACACTAGAAATGGTACAGTCTCTTTGTTAAAAGTTAGTAGTTTTGTTTTATGAAACTAAGAATATACCTGCCCAACAACCCTTAAGTGTTTACTCAAGAGAAATAAAAAATATATTCACCAAAAAGACTTAAGAATATTCATAGCAGCTTTATTCATAATAGCCCCAGACTGAAAACAGCACAGGTGTCCATCAGTAGTAGAATAGACACATCAGTAGAACAGACACATCAGTAGTAGAATAGACACAATATGGGTTCAGTGGAATACTCAGCATAGTGGTGCATAGCAATATACACACAGTGACTTCATCATAAAGGGTACAGGATGAGAATGGGGGGAAAATGCTAATTTGACAGTGGAGAAACCTAGTAGCCTGTATCCCGACAAAGTGCTCATGGTTAACATCAGTGAATTATGTTAATAGTATATACCCTTAATATGATGTAATGAGAATAGCACTTTTCTGCTGTGGTCCTCTTCCCCAGAACCCATAACACCAGTATGTATAATCATGAGGAAAACATCAAAAGAGGTCCCAATTGAAGGACATTTTATAAAATATCTGACCAATAGTTCTCAGAACTTTCAAGAATATCAAAAAGAAGGAAATTCTGAGAAACTGTTAGAGCCAAGATGAGACTAAGGAGACATAATGACTAAATATAATGTTGTATCCTAGATGGGATCCTGGGAGAAAAAAGGGCTTTAGGTAAAAACTAAAGAAATCTGAACAAAGTATGGACTTTAGATAATAATGATGTTTCTGTATTGGTTCATTAGTTGTGACAAATGTACCATAATATAGGATGTTAATAAAAGGAGCAACTGGATATGGGGTATATAGATCTTTTATACTATATTTCCAATTTTTCTGTAAATCTGAAACTTCTAAAAGTTTATTTTAAAATATATATGAAATTGGGGGCACCTGGGTGGCTCAGTGGTTGAGCGTCTGCCTTTGGCTCAGGTTGTGATCCTGGAGTCCTGGGATCGAATCCCACATTGGACTCTCTGCGGGGAGCCTGCTTCTCCCTCTGCCTATGCGTCTGCCTCTCTGTGTCTCTCATGAATAAATAAAATCTTAAAATATAAATGAAGTTTATCTACAGTTTATTAAAGTTAGATAAATATTAGACTCCAAGAATGCT